AAATAATTTTTAAAAAAATCAAAGAAGGCAATTTTTGTTATATATACGTATTAACAACTCATTTAGTAATTTGTTTCCCGCAATTGCCTTTCTTTTTGAATTACAGATCCTATGTAAATGGACAATACCAAAAATAGCATTTTGTGAAATAACATATGAACTTAACAATTTTTTTGTAAGATTACTGTGTGAGAAATATTAGTTTTCACACAAAAAAATGAAAACAAAAATCGTGGACCCCACTTGGACCGTATTTGGACCGCCCTAATTTGAGTGGTTGGTGTGCGGTTCAGTTATGGTTTACAAGACATCATGACTTGAACCGCATTGTAGTACTGTTCACATTGCACCAGATGAAACACTGATGGTAACAGAAAACACGGTTCGTGTATTTCAACCCTACCGCACCATACTTTTACGTGCATATATATCATCGTTCATAAACTTAGGGTCCGAATGGTGACATTGAATTGTGCGGGAGATAGAAAAATTGCGTAATGCGGTTCAGTGTAAATGCGGTTCATGCAGAAAAATATATTATGCGGAACAAATGCGGTTTATGTAAAAACGCGGAGCAAAACAATAGTTGATTGGTGTAAAATACAAATGCGGTGCAAGACAATGGTTTGAATGGTAAAAAATGATAAATACGGTTTAAATAGATATTAAAATAATAATTATAGAAAATAAAATTAAATAATATTATTACCAATTGCATAATTACTATTTGCATAATTTATTATACACAACATAATTTATAACTATAATTTGCATAATCACTTGAAAATGTGATATTTTTGTAAGATTTCCAGTGACCAAAAATATATTTTCAAAAGATATATTGTTTTTCGGTTGATAAAATAATACAGATTTTTTTTTCAAAAAAAAAGAAGAAGAATAATTGAAGTGAAACGCACCTTAAACGCATCTAAAGTTGTGCGCATCAATAATCAAGAGCGGTTTTCTTCCTTCATGCAAATGAACCGCATGCGTATTTTCTTATTTGTTTTAATTTTTTTAACTGATGTGATATGGAGTATGTAAATTTTGCTCATTGGTGATGTCAAATGCGTTTTTTTCTAAATCCACTGTAAATCCGCACCCGCATGGTCTCCAATCACAGAGTCTAGGGATTCTATTAAAAATCAGTGTGTCATTATACGATTATTATACTTGGATTAAACTCGATGACTTTTTTAACTGCTGACACCGCAGA